ACTTGTGTTAAAATTTAAAAGATTTGGTCAAGCTTATTAGCATTATCATCTTGAAATCCATGAAACATTTAAGGTTTATAAGGGGCATATCTCTTAAACAGTTAACCAAATTTTGCCATGACTTGTGATTTTTAGTCCATGAGTGTTAAAATTTCAAATACTAATACTAAATCTTTGTATCTATGAAAAAATTTAGTAAAAGTTGCAAGTAATTCATGGTAAGGTGGATAGATAGGATAGATGGCTGTTTAACATCCAGTGGCAAATTATATGATTATTCAGGACAAGAACATGATAATGTGATATAAATATAAGCCCTGTTTTGTTCTATACTAACACGCTGAGCCAGATTTTTAACGTCCTAGTTCACAAAGTAACTGTCTGTTGGAAAACATATGACCATACTTGGACACATTATTCTGACTATGAGCTGACCCATCTTTGCTCTTACTCCTAAATACTACATGCTTAGCTGAGAAGCAGCAAATACCAATTTCTAAGTCTTTGGTTTGACCTGTCAGGTATCCATTTAAACCCACAACCTACCGCACTCTTCCACAAGACCACTGAGATGGACGTATGGTAATGAAATCCCTCTTAGATTTAATTATTATACAATATGCTAATTGAAATCTAAATTGTCATACATATTTTAATTACTTGCCAAAAAAAAGGAAATCATCTCTTCAGCATTTCATTCATCAATTGTACATATATATTGAGAGTTGAAAAGACAGGGTAGTTTTAAAAGGACCAGTCATAATTGTTAAATGACAACAAAAAACAGTATGGTCCTTATCACAAACTAGAGGCTCTCAAGAGCCTGTGTCGCTCACCTGTATTTACTGATGCTTTGGAAATCATGTAAAATAAGGTTAAAATCATAATTAATAGTATTAGATATTAGACATGTTAGATATTATAATGATATCTAAGATAATAACAAAAAACTGCAAAATTTCTGTAAAATTACTAACTCAGGGTCAGCAACCCAACAACGGGTCGTCGGATTTGTCTGAAAATTTCAGGGCAGATTAATCTAAATCTGATGAACAATTTTGCCACCTGTCAGATTTGCTCTAAATGCTTTAGTTTCAGAGATATAAACCAAAAACTGCATTTTACCCCTATGTTCTATTTTTAGCCATGGCGGCCATCTTGGTTGGTTGGCGGGGTCATCGGACAAATTTTTTAAACTAGATACCCTAATAATGATTATGGCCAAGTATGGTTAAATTTGTATCAGTAGTTTCAGAGAAGAAGATTTTTGTAAAAGATTACAAAAATTTACAAAAAATTGTTAAAAATTGATTATTAAGGGCAATAACTCCTAAAGGGGTCGACTGACAAATTTGGTCATGACAACTAATTTGTAGATCTTACTTTGCTGAACATTATTACTGTTTACAGTTTATCTCTATCTATAATAATATTCAAGATAATAACCAAAAACTGCAAAATTTCCTTAAAATTACCAATTCAGGGGCAGCAACCCAACAACAGGTTGTCAGATTTGTCTGAAAATTTCAGGGCAGATAGATCTTGACCTGATAATCAGTTTTACCCTATGTCAGATTTCCTCTAAATGCTTTGGTTTTAGAGATATAAGCCAAAATCTACATTTTACCCCTATGTTCTATTTTTAGCCATGGCGGCCATCTTGGTTGGTTGGCGGGGTCATCGGACACATTTTTTAAACTAGATACCCTAATGATGATTGTGGCCAAGTTTGGTTAAATTTGGCCCAGTGGTTTCAGAGGAGAAGATTTTTGTAAAAAGCTAACGACGACGGACGACGACGATGACGACGACGGACGACGGACGCCAAGTGATGAGAAAAGCTCACTTGACCCTTCGGGTCAGGTGAGCTAAAAAATAAAATGCTCCGCTGGGCGCAGTTTGATACGACCGCAGAGGTCAAACCCTGAACAGTTGGGGCAAGTATGGATACAACATTCAAGCTTGATACAGCTCTGAATTTGGATTGTGATTAAATATTTGACACAGCATAGGTTTCTGACACAGAATGAATGTGGTCTAAGAAATTAAAATTTTTTAATTTACCTATTAAGGTCCAATATCCAAAATCTAAATACATGGTTAAATTCAGCAAATCAAAGAATCCAAAGAATTCAATTTTTGATGAAATCAAACAAAGTTTAATTTTGAACCCTTTTGACCTCAATGTGGACCAATTTGATAACTGGGCCCAAAAATCAAAATACATGGTTAGATTCAGCATACCAAAGAACCCCATATATTCAATTTTTGTTAAAATCAAACAAAGTTTTAATTTTGGACCCCAACTTGGACCAACTTGAAAACTGGGCCCATAATCAAAAATCTTAACACATGTTTAGATTCAGCATATCAAAGAATTCCAAGAATTCAATTTTTGTTAAAATCAAACTAAGTTTAATTTTGGACCCTTTGGACCTTAATGTAGACCAATTTAAAAAACTGGACCCATAATTAAAAATCTAAATACACGATTAGATTTGGCATATCAAAGAACCCCAATAAATCAATTTTTGATTAAATAAACAAAGTTTAATTTTGGACCCTTTTACCTCAATATGAACCAATTTGATAGTGGGGCCCACAAATAAAAAATCTAAATACATGGTTAGATTCAGCATATCAAAGAACCCCATATATTCAATTCTTGTTGATATCAAACAAAGTTTAATTTTGGACCCCAGTTTGGACCAACTTGAAAACTGGGCCCGAAATCAAAAATCTAAATACATGTTTAGATTCAGCATATCAATAAACCCCATATATTCAATTTTTGTTAAAATCAAACTAAGTTTAATTCTGGACCCTTTGGACCTTAATGTAGACCAATTTGAAAACTGGACCCAAAATTAAAAATCTAAATACACGGTTAGATTTGGCATATCAAAGAACCCCAATAATTCAATTTTTGATGAAATAAAACAAAGTTTAATTTTGGACCCTTTTGACCTCAATATGAACCAATTTGATAGCGGGGCCCACAAATAATAAATCTAAATACATGGTTAGATTCAGCATATCAAAGAACCCCATATATTCAATTTTTGTTGAAATCAAACAAAGTTTAATTTTGGACCCCAATTTGGACCAACTTGAAAACTGGGCCCGAAATCAAAAATTTAAATACATGTTTAGATTCAGCATATCAAAGAACCCCATATATTCAATTTTTGTTAAAATCAAACTAAGTTTAATTTTGGACCCTTTGGACCTTAATGTAGACCAATATGAAAACTGGACCCAAAATTAAAAATCTAAATACACGGTCAGATTTGGCGTAACAAATAAATAAATGTGGTCAAAGATTTTATAAATCTAATGCGCCATAAAGTGCAATTACAGATAACTTCTTGAAATTTTTCAATATTTGAAATTTGAAAAAAAAATATTATTTGAAGAATAATTCTTTTTAATTTCTGAAATCTGAAATGAGAAAAAATTTACCCCCCACAATTTCTCTTTACCCCCCCCCCCCCCCCCTTTTTCCCCAAAAAAATCTTTCCCTCAAGATATGGTCATAATCTCAATTCAAATTTCCAATGGAATTTGCAACCATAGTTACCCATTTAAATTTACCATAGTGCTAACTTAATCTATTTTATAATAGAATTTAAAATATGGTGTCAAATCTTTCATATGGATTTTTTTGTAAAAAAAAAAGATGCAACATTTGCAGATATTTTTACTTATCTTCCTTTATAAATATGCATTTCTTTAAACATAATTTAAAAGCAGTGTAAGGGAAGTATTCAAAACGTTGTATGTGGATTACCTCCCTTACACTGTTTTAAATTGTCTTAATTGTACATTAACCATTACTTTATACTTTATAATTTAAAAGCAGTGTAAGGGAGGTAATTCAAATGATGTATTTGATTTATCTCCCTTACACTGCTTTAAATTATGTTTTGTACTAAAGTATTTGTCCATATAAAAATGCTTGTTTTTTGCCCCTTTTTTGGCCCCTAATTCCTAAAATTTTGTGGCAATTACCCCCAAAATCAATCCCAGCATTCCCTTTGTGATATGGATCCTTGTGGTACAATGTCAGAGAGTTCTATACACTAACACACAAGTTATGCCTGGAAGTTACAAAAATGCTTATTTTTGGCCCCTAATTCCTTAACTGTTGGTACCATAACCCCCAAAATCAATCCCAACCTTCCTTTTGTGGTATTGAACTTTATGGTAAAATTTCATAGAGATCCATTCACTTAAAGTTATTGTGCGAAAACCAATGTGTCTTCGGACGACGACGCTGGACAACGACGACGCCAACGTCATACCAATATACGATCGCAAAATTTTTTTGCAGTCGTATAATAATGGGAGTGACAATATTTTTGATTTTGACATTTTAATTTTTTTACTTCTTTCTGATCCAAAAAGTTGACACTCAAAAGTTGCTTGGATATATATTCAGAGCCTTTTACAAATAAATGGAATTAACTGTAAACAACATCTAAACCTATAATGAATGGTTTGACCAAAAATACATTTTAAAAGCAAAGCATTGAACTTTGTCACAAATTGTGCTACTTTTGTGAGATAATGGCTGCTTGTTGTCATAAATTAAATTTAGTCCAAATGAAAAATATTCATTTGCTTCTCACATAAGAAGGGCTTTGTTTGAATTTTGTGATGGTCTAAAATAGGTTTAGAGTATCAATGATATATACAGTCATCTTCTCACACAACTTCTACCTCACAACTAACGTAAAGCCATATAACATTCAAATGTCTTGCCAAAACAGTTCTGTTTTACATCATGCTTGCACCAACAATGTTATATTGAAAACTTTTGATTTCCAAACCATTTCACAGAAATAGAATAATGTCATTGACAAGTAGTTAAAAAACAGGTATAGAACACCGAAATTTTCACTTAGATGTTGATTCAGAAGTGATCACAGTTAGCTTTACAGTCATATTTTCCATAAAATCGCCGCTACTACTGGACTTAAAATCAATTTCAACCTTACCTTGGCAGCAAATAATACCAAAATCTGGATTTAAGGCATTTTTCATGTTATTATAGTAATCTTCCTCATAAAGTCCAACTGCAGGCCCTGTAAGGACAATATCAAATGAATTATTAGTGGCTACAACCATTTTCTCCACAATAAAGATCCTGTATCCATGCTTCGCTTACAAGGATCTGACACCATTATATTTTAATCCCACTTTAATGATCTTTTCTGATCCTTGTGTTTTGTTGTAATGATTCACACCTTCAAAAATTTGGAGCAGAAATTTTGTTGGTTGAAATAATAATAATCAGAGTAAAAAGCATTGTCAAATTCTTGAAATCATAGTGGAGAAACAAGATCTGTCTTTCAATATAACTGAGTACAATTCAACAAGATGATGAAAGGTATTAAGTGATTTTGAATAAGGAAACTGTTCTGACATATCGTCAAATTAAGACATCGTTTTTTCAGGTGACCCAAGTTTCAAGTTTAAATACAAGTGTGCCTTTGTACAAAACTATTTACTCTTAATTTCCTGTAGGTTTCCACCACATCTATGCTCAATTTCATCAATGTCACTTTCTGAAAGTGATCAATCGGAATAAAAGAAAGCAGGCTGTTGTCTGCTCATTTGTCAGGTTGTTGTCTCTTTGACATATTCCCCATTTCCAATCTCAATTCTATTTGCAAAACAATTTGATTGTCTGATGGGAATAAAATAAGCAATTTTTATGGTCTCTTATACATTATTTCTGACAAATTTAGTTTAGGTAAAGTCATTTCAGAAAACAAAATAATAATTAACAAGAGTGCACGTGCTGAAATGTGTTAACTTACCTTACTTTAGACTATGCAAGGAACCCATATACCAAATATAGTTATTCTATTACTTATAATAAATGATAAATTCACACGACAAAAGAAACATAATATTTTTTTCTAGCAGTCGTTGAACCATCAAAATGAGATCAAGGACAATGGACATATGACAGACGAAAACTTTGTAAAATAAGGCATCTGCATACAAGGCATAAAGCATCCAGGTAATCTACCTTCTGAAATATAAAGCTTAAAATAAATAGTTTACACCATCGCAGCAGCCACCTGATTGTAATCCCTATATCTTGCATTCTGAAATAATGGAGATAATTTGCTACTTCCGGTTCACTGAAGGTCACTTATGGTCTCAAATGATAAGTAACTGCCGATTCCAAAAATATATCCTTTCTATATACTTTTCCCTGAAATATGTGCAAAAATTGCTTCTTCCTGTTTACACAAGGTCACTTCTGGTTGAACTATTTCAAGGTCATATGTCACCCTTCCCTTTGTTACAGACCTCATGGCTTTATCATTTTACAGTTCAAAGTGATAATGAATTAACCTAAAAATTGTCACTGAATTGCTTTGGACTAAATGAACCATATTTTCTTCTAAATAACCCAAACATTTTGCACCACTTATTTTATATCATTCTTTAATAGTTAACCAGGAGAGCGCTCACAAACACAGGTAAAATATTAAGAACAAGACTTTGACCTCTATTTCCAAGTTAGACCCCAAGGATCTCAATCAAAAGATCATAGGTCTTTATTGCTTACAGTTTATAATTACGAACAGCATACCATTAGGTAAAATTGTAAAAGTAAGATAACTCCTATAAGATGTCACCAGATGGCTTGGTCCAAATCAGTTGAATCTTCATGAGGTAGTAACGAACAATAAGGAAAAAGAATTTTGTCAATATCTTTATTCATTACAGAAGAGATACGCTCACAAAAAAAACAGTGTTTGGGGGATAATTCTTGCAAAGAAAAGTATTCGGTAAGCAGTGTCAGTTTCAAAAGCACATGATATTTTTCAAGGTCATATGTCACCCAATTTTTTTCAAAAGACCCCACACCTTTATTATATACCAGTATGAAAAAATAACCAATTAACCTAAAAATTTAATAATTTCAGGGGCAATAACTCATATAAAATGTCACCAGATCGCTTTGGACTGAATGTACCATTAATTCCTCACAAGAACCAGATAATTTTGCATCAGTGTTTTTGTATCAACCTTTTATACTTTGAGGAGATGCACACACAAGCAAAGGGCAAAAATTTAGAACATGACCATGACATTTGACCTTGACCCCATCTTCTTTTTGATAGACCAAGGACCTCAAATCAAGTTAACCTAGGTCTCTATGACTTAGGGTTCATGAGTTACATTTATATACATCCCTTCTGTCAAATACAAAAGGGAAAATAACTCTCATATGGAGTCTCAGTATCGATCCTGAGGATTTAACAAGCAATTTGGAAAAATTAATTTGTTGATTTCTTCTATGATTAAGGAGATGCACATATAAGCAAAACAGTGTTTGGGAAGATAACTCTTACAATTAAAAGGGTTTGGTTAAACAGGGTGAGCTTCAAACGCCCAATATATATCGGTCTGATATCATATGCAAAATATCTAAGCGACATCTTGCTAAACCAATATACACTGCAAGAAAACAATTTGGCAGAAAAAATAATATTAATAAATAAAAAGGTCTTTCCACAGAAAAGTGGAAAGACCGCATAATAATCAAAACAAAATTAAAAGAACTTTCCAATGAAAGGTGGGAAGACTTTATAATCAGAACAAATCCAAATGTCTTTCCACAGAAAAGGGGAAGTGGAAAGACTTAATAATCAGAACAAAATCAAAAGGTCTTTCCAATAAAAAGTGGAAAGACCTAATAATAATCAGAACAAACCCTATAGGTCTTTCCACAGAAAGGTGGAATGACAAAATAATCAGAACAAAATCAAAAGGTCTTTTCATAGAAAGACCTAATTATTCCAGCTGTACTTAAAACAAATATACGACCCTCATCCTTGTAAAAAACATTATTTAAAAATCCTCTTTGTCTTTCATTTTTCGCTGAACTAAGAATTTTTCAAAACGATAAAATGTTGATACAGAGATATATCTTGCCTGTATGTAATTATGATAGTAAAATGCAAATGTTCAAATAAATTTGGCAATACTTTAAAGTCATATGAAATGAGTTTCTTGTAATTATAACGTGAAGGAAATTATTGAACCAATGCATGCATATATACTAAACTAAGCCCCCTATGCAAGTTATTTTAAATTTATTACGAATACATAATGTATAATCAGCAAAAAATATTTCATTTGATAGCGTTGATCCAAACTTTAGCTGCTAATTAACACTCTTGTTTTGATGACAAAGTTTACCGATAGCGAATTTGATACACAATCAACACATGCAACACGTGAAAAATATGTGAAATGATAGCACGGATAGAGCTTTGTTTAATTGCTTATTTTTAAATTTGTCATGCTTTCCCTTTTAAACTTTGTCAAAACAGTTGTTACATGATTTGGAGTATTAAATTTTTTTTTCAAGATCCATTAATTCAATCTTCCTAGCTTGAACGTTTGGTTACCTTTTCTTTCATCACAGTTTTTCCCTTGCACTTGTGCTGTGCGGTTAGTCTATTTCTTACAAGTGGGGCCATGGTTAAGGTCACTGAAAACTAAAAAGCTGTCGGCAAATAAGAGTCTGAGAAGAAAATAATTCAATAGCAGTACATCTCTGAAGATTTGGAGAAGATAAAGGATTTTCTTTTAAAAGAAAGTCCATGTACATATATTTTATAGTAAAGCTTAGCCATTCAAGTATATAAAACATATAATAAACATATAATATTAAATTGAAGTTTGATAAGACTTTAAGATGTAAACCATGAGAAGGAGATGCAGGTTCAATTAATATCCGTGGATGTGCCAATGATAATACCATTGCATACCATATATTATTGACTTTACATTATTGGTTCCCTTAAACTGCCCTTGTCTGTAGTGGCGTTTTGGATTTCAATGAGCGTTATCTATGTATTACTGGTAAATTATTAAGTCAGGAATTTCTTTACTACAAATTACTAAGAAACCTGACTAAATTCTTCCATAGAAACAAAGATTTGGTTTGCAAGATTGGCTGTAACTGTAAAAATACTTATTTTAAACTGTTAACACAGAGATATGTCTCGCCTTTTTGTAATTTTGATAATGCAAATGTTGAAATTAAAATAGGAAACTTTAACATGTAAGTTATGCAAATATTCAAAGTCAATGAACCATGACTGAAGGTACATGGCTAAACAATCTCCATGAAAATGAGATGTGCCAATGCTAATACAACTGCATACCAAATACCATTGACTTATTATAAGTCGTTCCCTTTAAACAAACCTAAACACAAACAATAACTTGTAAACTATGTAAAAGTTTCAAAGTCAATGAACCATGATGAGGAGGTGGGGCTTTATAATCTCCATGGAAACAAGACTTGAAAATGCCAATAAATTTGTATACCAAATATCATTGACTTAACATTAGCAGTTCATCTTAAACTGATCTAATCACAAACTAATACATGTAAACTAAGCAAAAGTTTCAAATTAATAGACCATGACTGGGGGGGCAGGGCCAAATAATCTCCATGGAAATGAGATGTGCCAAAGCAAATACAACTGCATACCAAATATCATTGACCTACCACTAGTGGTTCACCATAAACTAGACCTAATCACAAACTAATACATTGTTGACACAGCCGCCGCCTCCGAAGCTGGAAACAGCATACCTATGTCTTGCTTTTTGACTCCGTCAAGGCGAGACAAAAACCTCACTAAATTCTTCCATAGAAACAAAGATTTGGTTTGCAAGTATGGCTGTAACTGTAAAAATACTTATTTTAAACAGAATAGCACATCCTAATTATTACGGTGATGTTGTTTATCGAGCCCTGAAATTTACATACGATCCCAGTAAACTTAACAATCTTTTAAATAAACTTTTTCTAAAAGGCTACCAATTCAACACTGTCATTAAATCTTTGAATATTGTTTTTATTGGTATAAATATTGATTTGTTATCAGTAAATAAAAACCATACTTATTGTTATACACATATGCACATTCAAGGTATTACAATCTGTCGATACCTACATTTTAGCATTGCACAAGGTCATGTTTTTCTCTGACTGTTAATGAGGTCTTTACACTAAATCCATTGGATGCTGGATGTGTACTGATTGATATTTGAGTCTTAGATACATGTTATTGACTTTGAACTAGCTGTCAGTAACTGTGAGTACTCTCAGATCTGTACTTTTGTGTCTTTTTTGTTTTTAGGGATGTATAAATATCCTGCCACGTCCCATCTGTGTTTTTGTTAAGATGTTTTTCTGCTTTGTATCAATTTGATGAGTTAAGCCCTTTCAAACTGATTTTATAGTTTGTTCTTATGCTGTACTGTTACACCACTGTCCCAGACTCCCAGGTTAGGGGAGGGTTGGCACCTTCAAACAAGTTTAACCCCGCCACCTTCTATATGTGCCTGTCCCAAGTCAGGAGCCTGTAGTTCAGTGCTTGTCGTTGGTTCATAGATATAAGAAGATGTGGTATGAGTGCCAATGAGACAACTCTCCATCCAAGTCACAATTTGTAAAAGTAAACCATTATAGGTCAAAGTACGGTCTTCAACACGGAGCCTTGGCTCACACCGAACAGCAAGCTATAAAGGGCCCCAAAAATGACTAGTGTAAAACCATTCAAACGGGAAAATCAACGGTCTAATCTTTATAAATAAACTGTTATCACAGAGATATGTCTCGCTTTTTTGTAATTTTGATAATGCAAATGTTGAAATTAAAATAGCAACACTTTAACATGTAAGTTTTGCAAATATTCAAAGTCAATGAACCATGACTAAAGGAACATGGCTAAACAATCTCCATGGAAATGAGATGTGCCAATGCTAATACAACTGCATATTAAATACCATTGACTTATCATTAGTAGTTCCCTTTAAACAAACCTAAACACAAATTAATACATGTAAACTAAGCAAAATTTCAAAGTCAATAAACCATAACTGAGGGGGGGAGGTCAAATAATCTCCATGGTAATGAGACGTGCCAATGCTGATACAACTGTATACCAAATATCATTGACCTACCACTAGTGGTTCCCCATAAACCGACCTAATCACAAACTCATACATGTAAACTAAGCAAAAGATTCAAAGTCAATAGACCATGAATGAGGGGGCGGGGCCAAACAATCTCCATGGAAATTAGACATGCCAATACTAATACAACTGCATACCAAATATCTTTGACTTACCACTAGTGGTTCACCATAAACTAGACCTTATCACAAACTAATACATTGTTGACACCGCCGCCGCAGGAAACAGCATACCTATGTCTCGCTTTTTGACTCCGTCAAGCGAGACAAAAACGAGAAACATGACTTATTTTTTTTTTATTAATCAGCCATTAGTTTTCTCAATTGAATTTTTCATATTTTTCATGTTGTGGCCTTTTATAGCCTACTATGCGGTATTTGTTTTTCTCATTGTTGAAGGCAGTTCAGTTGCCTATGATTGCTTACATCCACTTCATTTTAACTTTGGTTGATAGTTGTCTCATTGGCAATCATACCACATCTCCTTATTTCTATTTATATTCACAAACTTTAACATTTAAATTAAGCAAAAGTAACAGTCAATGTTTCATTCCAGCCACGGTAAAATGTCAACTTTTGCAATGACAAACTAAAAACCCTAATTTTTTTAAACAAAAGGCACCAAAGAGCCTAATTCTCTTACCTGTAAAAAAAAATGTCTTGTATTGCTGATCATTTTTGCTATATACAGTTTCATAACCTATCTATTATAGTTTAGATAATAGACAAAACTTACAAATTAGTCAAAAAAATTGTCTTTTAAGGGCAATAACTCCTATAAGTAGTCATCCAATTATTTCAGTCAAATTACAGTTTTGAAGATCTTTTATTGCTGATCACTTTTGCTGTTTACAGTATCCCCTGATTATTTACAGATTTCAAGATTATAGGCAAAACCTTGAAAACTAGCAAAAACAGTCTTTAAAGGGCAATAACTCCTGTAAAGAGACATCCAAACATTTCAGTCATTTAGCATTTCAGTAGATCTTGTATTGCTGGTAATTTTTTCTGTTACAGATTTCGAGATAAAATAGTCAAAAATCTTCATTTAAAGGCAATAACTCCTACAAGGAGTTATCTGATAATTTTGATGGAAATGAGAAGTAGGAAGATCTTGCCATTATGAGCATGTTAGTGGTCCTTGTAAGATATCTCAGACTATTATGTTTTCAAGATATTAGACGATAAATGCATTTAACCTTATGTTCTATTTCAATTCATGGCGAGCATGTTGGTTGATTGGAAGGCAAAAAAAAAACCAACTTTATACTAGATATACTCAAGATCATTCAAATTTGATTAAAAATGAACCAGATGGTTTCAGAGAAGATTTTTTTAAGAAGTTTACTACAAATAAGAAGACGACAGACAAAAATGAGGTAAGATGACGACAGCAACTAAATGATGAGTTCCTTTAGAGATTTTACAATGAAAAACTTCCCATATAAAGAAAGGGTATATTTTGTTGTTGCAAAACACAACTAGAACAGCCAAGGAGCTGGTATTGCTAACCTGGGACTTTTGGGAACATAATAACCAAGTTTCATTGTTTTTTGTTTACAATTTTGCACATTGTTTTTTGTTTACAATTTTGCACATATCTATTTTTGTTTGTAAGATAATAGCCAACAAAATTGCTACAAAGTAGCGAGATGTCCACTGCCTGTGTAAATATTGAATAAAATTGTGTGTACAGAATAGAGTTGCACAACAGGATCATAGATTATACTACAGTAAGTGTATTTGTATTTGCACCAGTTATTCAACAGAACATGGTTTCAATGTGGTGTAACAGTTGAAAAAATTGTCTAAGTCCCATTTGTCCGTAAAAGTGGTTGAATCGATATGGCTGTAGTGGCCGCAAACAATCCTACCAAGTGTAAAGAGCATGTGACAAAAAAATAATGCTTTTAAGTATGCAACCTTTCTGTCAAACAGTCATTAAACACTGATGTGTTTCATACAGATGGACAAACAGAAGCACAAAGTAAAAAACGTAATACTCCTCTTCTATTGTAGGTTCAATGGGCATGAAAAATTAAGATTTGTGAATATTAATTTCTTATTCAAAGGAATACCTATTGGGTCAGGTGCATCTGTTATTATGACATCAAACTCATTTTTGTGATCTTTCATGTACTGTATCCCATCTCCAATAAATAATTCCATTCTGGGGTTATCAAAACTTTGTGCTAAGTGTGGTAAATATTTCTTACTAACCTCTACTACTTTCTGAAAGAAAAAAAAACATATGAAAGAACCTTGGTTAAAAATACTATACTTTATTATCATAACACAAACAATGTTATTGATGTCCAAGAAGAAGAGATCCAAATAACAGAAACATCAATCCAAACCACTGGCACAACTACTCAAACAGAGACTGAAGAAAAAACTGAAAAGCAACTTTGGGGGAGCAAAGAAAGTTTGTTGTGAACACCCATGTAGACTCGCTCTGACCCATTTGTTTTTGATGAGAAATACTTTCACAACAACCTTCAATAAACAAGATCCTATACCCCACGTCCTACACATAAAGGTGACATCTTATTAGTCCCCTACCAGCAAAGTCGAAGGGGACTTTAGGTTTGCACTCCATCCTTCCATCTGTCCATCCCTCCATCCATTTGTCTGTCTGTCCGTCTGCTCTGTCTGTCCGTCAGTCCAGCAAATCAGTTTTCCACACTTTTTTTCTTCATGCTTTAAGATATCTATTTGATATTTGGTATATAGTTTTATCATGACAAGTTATAGATCAAGTTACGCCTTTTGTTCCAGTACAATGAATTTTTAACCGGTAGGGGACTCTGTATTGCCATGCAATACTCTTAGATATTACTTGTTTCAAATAGTGTTTCTCTTTATTTTTAGGTTTGATTATTTTCTGTTATGATTTCAGAGAGTTTTATTATGTTACAAGCAATAAGAATTACATGTGACATAAAAAAGTCCACCAGTTTCAAAATTTTCTTACTATTGAAGTCATCAGTGGAAAAGTGAGAATCATATTTCTTTCTAAGATTTAAATGAATAAACTGCTTCGCTGAGCGCAGCTGGATACGCCCGCAGAGGTCCAACCCTGAACTGTTGGGGCAAAAATGGACACAATATTCAAGCTTGATACAGGTCTGAATTTGGATTGTAATTAAATATTTGACATATTACAGGTTTCTGAATAAATGTAGTCAAAGAACTTGAAATTGGTTATATGAATTGAATTTATATTCAATTAAAGATTTCTTGCTGTTGTGCAATACACTGTGCTGTTGCGCAATACTTAGTAAATCTGTTGTCAGACTATAAACAAATAAAGTTCAATTAATTCTAAATGTCATATTAGAAATTTATGAAAATCAAAAGGGAGCTTACATCAATAGATATAAACAATTCACCAAAGTTTCATGAGAATTGCTGACAGCATTTTTGAGTAATTGTCCAAAAACAAGAAAATCCTCCCCTTTTTTAATGAATAAAACCCCACAACTCAGAAATGTAAAATGTAAAATTTATAAAATTCTAAAGGGAGCTTACTTAAATAGATATAAACAATTCACCACAATTTCTTGCAAGTTGGTGAAAGCATTCTTGAGTTATTGTCCGAAAACTGGAAAAACCCCCTTTTTTTAATGAATAAAACCCCATAACTCAGAAACTTAAAATTTAAAATTTATAAAAAACGAAAGGGAGCTCACGTCAATAGATATAAACAATTCACCAAAGTTTTATGCAAATTGGTTAAAGCATTTTTGAGTTAATGTCCAACATGTTGACGACGGACGGACAGACGGACAGACGGACGGACGGACGGACGGACAGACGGACAGAGGTATACCATAATACGTCCCGTAAACGGGCGTATAAAAAGGTATCATTTGCTATTACGAAATGATTCTATGTGTCAAAATTATTAATTGCCCACCATTTACAAAAATGGCCCTTTAAAATACATATCATAGTGCTTGGATTTAAACAAAACATATATTAATCGAGAATACATTCTGAATTGCTTGTTGGTGTCAAGTTAAAATAAAAAAAAAAGAAAGAATAAACTATTTAAAGACAGATAACTTGCACTGATTAAAAATAATCGTTTGTAGTTCTTTACCGACATGGTTCACCTGACTTCAGTCTTATTTCATTGATTAGCGATCAATGTTAAAGTTATGTGATTAGGTGGGTTTCTCAGATACTGTAAGCAGTAAGTCAACTATATTTGGTGTATGGAATGATTGTAAGGTGTACATGTCAGTCTGACAGGTTTCATAAGACCTTGACCTCATTTTCACCTTTCATTGGTCAAAATTAAGTTTTTGGGATGGAAAGACCTTGGTTTTTAATTATTTATGTAAACTATCAAATCCTATCCAAGTTTGTATGGAAGTTTCCACTTATCAAAATCTCAGATGTTTTCAATAATTGGGAAAATCTGAAGTGGGAAACGATATTGTAAGAAAAAATAATTTTTTAACACAATTTTGACTTGAAGAAACAATTTGGAATGCATAATAAGACTCTCTTATATATCAATTTTTGATGACATCCTAATACAAGAAAAGAAAACTTTTAAACAATTTTTTCCCCAAAATTATTGAGCCAAATCTCTCCAAAATATAATATGCACATCTACATATGATGCACAACAACTGTGCAAAATTTCATTGGCCTCCTACTTATACATTTGGAGTTGCTTTTACAAAAGACATTTCTCAAAATTTGTGATTTTTTAACAAAAACATAGGTTTTCTCCAAAATAAATGAGCCGAATTTTACCAAAATATTATATGCACGTCTACATATTATTCACAACAACTGTGCAAAATTTCATTGGCCTCCTATCTATACTTTTGGATATTTTGTGTGAACAGACAGACAGACGGGAACTGACAGAAGGACAGACAGACAAAGTGAAAACTACAGGGCTCCCGCATTGTCGATGCAGGGACTTAAAAAACATACCATTTAAAAATTTGTGAATTTCTTTAATAGGCAATTAACAATTTAAATAATGTGTTGATATTACTGTTCTTAAGGTTTCTGTCTATCTATGATAGTTCTCAATATAAAACAATAAAAATGTGACAATCCAATAGTACTATTTAAGAAATATATGCTATCAATGACAAATTTTCTTGAAAACATAAACGAACCAACAATTTGATTCATTGATAATTTTCTTAATGGATGAAGTTCTAGCTTAAAATTTGAAAAACACACGCTCTATTGCATAGGCAATATGTCAAACAAATGATACTACCAAAAAACAAATCAGTGAAATGTAGAAAATGCGAATAGAATTGAATACATATTAATCTGAAAAACATTCGTCAGATCTGTGTTACTGGTTGCATAGATCTAGTCTTTATAGCTTGTAGGGAGTGATTAAAACAAATGGCTGGAAACAAGTCACAATACTAGATGAGTCATGTTATAGAATTAAATTAGAAAACTGAAATGTCAGGAAGGGCACAGTTGCATATTTTTGTGTAAGGTAAAGAAAAAAATAGTTAAAGCTGATGTAAGGAACCAATACATGTTTATCAGGTTTATTTTTTTTTGTAAATTTTGACACTAAGAATTAATTCAGGATATATTAAATGTAAATTTTAAGTTTCCTTTAAGCAGTTACTAAACCATAAAAATTTGTAAAGGGTTAAGCAGAACCCTGCGTCTTGCCTGCGATTGCTGCTGTCAGTGTGAAGGATTAATGCTGACCGTAAAAAGTGTGTCCATTTATCAGTTAAATACAGAATTAAGCAACCAACAATTAATCAATTGAAGATTAACAACGTCCAAGTTTCAAAACAATCCATAAAATTTAACCAAAATCATTTAAAAAAAAATTAATCCCAGAAAGTCTGTAAAAAATTAAAACAACACTTTTAACTGCATAAAAAGTCCATCAATCAGCAAAATACTAAAAATGAAAAAATATTTTCAAAATTTTGCATCAGACATTATCTTTTTATCATACAAAAGCTTCTGTGAAAGTTTTAAAAACTTCTATGAAGGTTTGACAAAGAAATTGATAAGTTACAAACTTTTACCCCAGATTGTATGTTCTTCTCTACTGCAAAAAAAAAACCAAACTACCCGGTAAGTTCTTTTGTCAGGAAAATACAGAAAAATAAAAAAATAAATATTTTCATAATTTGGCTCTGGATACTGTCTTTTGATCATAAAAAATATTCTGTCCAACTTGATTAAAATTCCATGAATGTTTGACAAAGTTATAATATAAATGTTGCAGGCTCAATAAAAATGAGGTCTTATGGCAATGGACATATGATAGACACTAATGACAGTATGTAAGGAATAATTGATGTATTTTTGGAGTGTAATGCCACTTTCAGCACTTTTGGCTATTTGACCACCAACTTTCAGCAGGAAAACTAGCAATCCTAGTCAATTTAGAGTGGAGTTGAATGCACCTGCCTGTGTCGGTTTCACAAAAAAACTTACGACTAAGATTAATCGTAAGTCATGAACAATTCAGTATACTTACGATCAATCTTAGTCCTAAGTTTTTTTGTGAAACCGACTCCTGTATTTTTGGTATGAAGTATTCCAATATAAATCTTTATACAAATAGTTAAACATAAATGGCATTAGCATTCATATGTCTTGCATTCTCCGAAAATACAGTTGCAAAAATCATGAGAAATGTGACAAGACCTTCCGGTTCAAATAAGTCTGGCACTGTCGCAGTCTAGCTCAGTCATGTTAATATTTCTGTTTAAGGCCTTTATGGTGTAAGAAGGCACAAGAATACAAAATTCCATATAATAGGCAGATATGACTAAAACTTCCTCAGTCTATGTCCTCATTTAAGCCAACAGCTAAAACCAAATTCAAACTAGATATGCTCTGCCATATGCATGAGTATAGTTCCACATACTTTAGATTTGACAAACAGTGATGTTGAAGTACAACTTGAAATTGTTGCGCTGTCTGTAAGAAACAAATGATGCCCCGCCGGACCATAAGAAATTATAAATTTAACACTATGTATGATGATCTATCTTTAAATTTTTATTCTGAATGTCCAGCAAAAGGTTTCAACTTTCCAGTTTTAGAAGTCACCAAATTCAACTTTCTTAATTTCCAGTGGTCACTAAGTTCAATTTCCCAGTATTGATTAAATATTTGATTAAATACTAAAAAATCTTATTTATTGCATTAGGGACATTAAACTGTGGTAGTACAAACCATGTTTTCAATTATATAGCAAGTGA